AGGAATGGTTATTTATTGCCCAAATTTGTTCTTAGGCTGAAGAAAGCGAACAAATCTTGGTCTGAACCTCAGCCAGCCACAGGGGCCAGACGGAAATGGGGCACACAGGCAGGCCTGAGCCTCAGCGCCGGGTCGTTACCAGGGTCGGCTGCCCGAGGGCCCTCGGCCAGCGGAAACCGTGCCCCTCTCGGCCAGGGTGGTCAGCCTTCGAGCTGGCCCAGTGACCCTCGCCCCCTGCCCAGGAGGGAGCGGACCTGTGTTCCCGACAGGCCAGGGTGCGGACGCAGCAGTCCGGGGCCCGCGGCGGGACGCCAGAAGACCCGGAAGCGGCCCAGCGCACCGCCAGCGCCTCCTGCCCCGCGTGCCACAGCCCCCTCGGCCCTGGGTGGGTCCCCACTCGTGCTCGGGCTGCCGCCCCGCTGGAGAGACCCAAAGCCAGAACCATGCATAAACAGCTCCTGCATTCTCGTCCCGCTGGAGAGGATGATGATACAGGAGGTGACAGGTGTCAGGCAGTGAACTGTCCGTGGCCTTGGCACGGCGCGATATGCACAGCTGAGGGCCTCCCAGGAGAGCAGTTCAGGAACGCGAACCGCAGGGCTGGGGTCTCCCGCGGCCTCCGAAAGGTCGGCGGTGCAGAGCTCTTCCAGGAGAGGGCGCTGCTGCCCGGTTTCCTCCGCTCTGTGCCCGGCGGAAACGCGGGTGCGAGGGAGCTCCCGGGCTTCTGCGAGGGGCTCCTCCGACACCTTCACAGAATTAACACCCGGGCTTTGACCAGGGCAATCTCCAAAAATCGTCGCTTCTGATTTTAGAAGCCTCGGGTCACGTGGCAAAGCCCTGCTGAGCGAGGTCTGCGTCCTTAGACGCCCGCGATGACTTCTGCAGGTCCCGAAAGCTCCCCGAAGCCTGGAGGACTCGCCCTCCGGGGCTGCTCTCAGGAACGCAGCCGCAGCCCCGAAGCCGCCCGCGAGCCCTGCCCAGGGTCCACAGTGAGCGATCGAGAGGGCAGGGCCGTCTTTCAATCGCTATTTTTTTGGTGCATGTTCACAATACATAATGCTTACATTCGTCGTTGAGAAGTTGGTACATGTACAGAGAACATCTTTTTTTTTTTGCCAGCATCAGATTTATTTATTTTATAAGTCTTTATCAAATCATTCTCATAAACACAGATTAACAGGTCAAAAAATATATATAACACATACAACAATTGTACTAAATCAGGTACACTTTTAGGTATATTGGCCATGATGGATAGCAATAACATTTTTCTTTTTTTTTTCCTATTGTCTTTTATTTTGCCCTTTATGTATTGCGCTTCTTACATGAGAGAACACATGATATTTAGGCTTGTATGTCTGATTTACTTCACTTACCATTATGGTCTCAAGGTGTATCCATTCACCCACTCAGGTTTATTCTTCTGTGTGGCAGAGTAGTGCTTCATTGAGTATAAACACCACATTTTCTTTATCCATTCATCTATTCATGGACATGCAGGTTGCTTCCAAGATTTAGCTATTATGAATTGTGCTGCTTGCTATAAACATGCATATTCATGTATCACCGTGGTATGATATCTTTAACTCTTTCCACAAGATACCAGAAGAGGAATAGCTGAGTCAAATGGTAGTTCTACTTTTAGTTTTTTGAGGAATCTCCATACTGATTCTCATAGTGGTTGTACTAGTTTACATTCCCACCAATAATGAACAAGAGTCCCCTCCCCCAGGCTCTCCATCATTTATTATTTGATTTCTAAACAACGGCCATTCTTTCTGAAGTGAGATAGAATCTCAGTGTTGTTTTAATTTTCATTTCTCAAATGGCCAGTGGTGTTGAACATTTTTTCATATATTTGTTGGCCATTTGTATTTCTTCATCTGAGAAATGTCTGTTCATTTCAGATGACTTTTTTTATTGGGTCTTTAAATTGAGGGAAGTCTTGTTTGTTGTTGTTCTTTGTATATTCTAGATATTAGTCCTTTATCTGAGGAGTAACTGGAAAAATTTTTTTTCCCATTCTGTAGATTGTCTCTTCACTATGTTGGTTGTTTCCTTTGCTGTGCTTTTTAATTTGCTGTGATCCCATTTGTTGATTCTTGGTATTATTTCTTGTGCAGCAGGGGTTCTGTCCTTGCCTACATCTATGACTTCAAGAGTTTTACCTGTTTTATATCGCAGCATATTGTTTCTCTTCTAATGCTTAGATCTTTGATCCATCTTAAATTTAGTTTGGTGCATGGTGACAGACGTGGGTCTAGATTCAATCTTCTGCATGTGGATAGCCAGTTTTCCCAGCATGGTTTGTTGAAAGAGGCTATCTTTCCTCCAGCAAAAGTATTTGGCCTCTTTGTCAAAGATAAGGTGCAAAAGCTGAATGTGCTGGGAGTTGTTTCTGCATCCTCTTTTCTCTTCCATTAATCATCAAGTCTGGTTTTTTGCCAATGCCATGCTGTTTTTATCACTATAATTTTGTAGTATAACTTGAAGTCTGGGATTGTGATGCCACCTGCCTGCCTTGCCCTTGTTGCCCAGAATTGCTTTAGCGATTCTCGGTCTCTTCTGGTTCCATATGAATTTTAGGATTGTTTTCCCTAGTTCTGTGAGGTATGCTATTGGTGTGTTGATTGGGATTGTGTTAAGTCTGCATAAGAGTCTTGGTAGTATGCCACTTCCGATATATTGGTTCTGCCTATCCAGGCACAGAGGATATCTTTCCATTTCCTGGTGGCCTCTTTGATCTCCTTTTTCAGGAGGGTGCTTTTCAATAAACAACACTCATGAAGTGTTCTGTCTGAAATTTGGTTTGTGGCATTAGCATATTTTTTCCTGTTTTCTGCCACACATGAGGGTAGTTTCTGGTATAAACTTTGTACCTACTCTGGTGACAGTGGCAGTGGCTGCAAAGTTCGGTGGTGTGAACTGAAGCCTCAGAGCTCGGTGGCCACCACTGGAGTGGTCCTCATCTACCCAGTTCTGTGGTGTGCGCACTTTTGGACAGCATTCCTGGGAGATTCGCCTCAAGCCTTGGATTTTCACAGTGCTCTCAAGAATTTTGTGCACCACCCAGAATTCCTCTTCAGCTTCAGTAGCTGAGGTCAGCACCCAGCACCGGATGGCTCCCCATTCAAGGCAGATTGTGCCAAGCAGCTGAGCCTCCAGGGAGCCCTGCCTAGGCCAAGAAGCCAGAGGTTTTCTCCCAGGAACCTGCCTCCACAGACTAGATCTGCCACTTTCAGGTTAGGTTACCAACCCATCTGCCCCAAAACTACAGCTGCCTTTTTCTAAAGAGAGAGATTTTCCGGAATTCAGAGCTGCTTTCGGGTCAGGGTGTAAAGATCCTGCCTTACTTGCTCTTGGGGGTGCTGGGAGGGCATTCATACTTTTGTCTCTGAAAGACCTGGATTACAGGAAAGCATTCATTCCTGTTCACTGTGCCGATTCCTATCCCCAACCCACACACCGATCGGTTGTGGTAAAAGTGGCTCCAAAACCCCTAATCTTTCCAGTTAACTTTCAAGTTTCTCCCCAGTTACTCCTACTCAGGTTGGAAGATTGCAAGTTCAAGGCCAGCCTGGACAACTTAGACCTTGTCTAAAATACAATGTAAAAGGTGGGGGGGGGGGGCTATAGCTCAGTGGGAGAGTGTATGCCTGGTGGGCACATGGCCCTGTGTTCGGTGGCCAGTACTGGGAACAAACTTTTGTCAACATAGGATTGCAAAATTCACAAGGTAAAAATGTTTTCCTCTTGTCTTGATTTCACTCCTAATTAAGGGATGCCATGCGCTGTAACATTTGCATTCCTCCAGCCAAAGCAAACTGCTTGACCTAATTTAATATATTTTAGGTTTTTACAGTCTGTCTATTCACCGAGCTGAGCCATTT